TGGACAATGAATAGCATCTGTCAGTGGTAGACAATGAACATGGCCCTGTGACGTCTCTGATCTTTCGATCCTGCCACGCTGCATAATTATGGCCCGAAGGAAGACCATGCCATAGATACGCCGGCGTTGTTCAACAAAGGAATCAACCGTAGGACTTGGTGACATCTGTCCTGTCCACTCAACCTGCGGTCTGGAATCTCCACTTAGTAGACAGTGGGATAATGTTCGGGTACAGACATTTGGCCTTGGTGCTAGCTGACCGATATTGCTGCGTGACGATGTCATGATTTCTGAGGTTGATGAGTCAAGAAATGGAGAAGCGACGATGCAGCAACGTCCAAGTTAAGGCACAGATCAGAGATGCTCATGTGCAATTCTTCAAATATGGAATTCGAGGTTAATTCAAATGTGACGATGCGGTTAAAAGCCCCTTAAGCAAGAAACTTGCACAAAGAGAGGCGTCAATATGAAGTTCGTGCGAGCTCACAACCAGAACATGAAGATGAACAGAAGCGTCTAGCATCATTAACGCATTGGTGGCAAGGCTAGTTGGAATTCAATAAGATTAAACCAAGATCCTAGTATCGGAACGGCTTTGGCGGTAAGGGATGGTTCCAGGCCGACGGCACTAGAAAACCGGTTCTCCGGTATACGCTCGAACGTGATTCCAAGTTTAGTTACGGAATCGCGCATCGATTGCGCAGTTGCCCGATTAGAGTTCATCATATGATGCTTTCTGAGATCCGTTACCGTGGAACTGGCTTGTCAGATCAATATGGAAGCTCCATGCATCTTGACCCGCCAACACCGCCGGACAGAAGCAGCATCTCGTGGGGCTCAACATGCGGTATTCCGTTTTATTTTTCCTTTTCCCTTTCTTTTCCCCCCTTCTAAGTAATCACTAGAATGATTTTCATAGAGCCTTGTGAGCATGTATGGATAGAGTTGAAGTGCTTCAAGATATAGTACTTACTTGCATTGACAAAACAAGTTCACCCTCATTCCCATGACTAGCCTAGCAGGCACATTGACAACCTAGTAGGCCGATCACTGTATTGGCTCAGCTTCATTGACCTAGAGATCATGGTCTGTAACTTGTGATTCGACAGCTTCCTAGTTCCCGTGACCAGGTAACACAAAGAACGGCAAAGCCGAGCGGACGCCTAACGGCGTTGTTGAAGGAATACCACGGAGGCCTTTGCGGGATCTCCGTAGTCGCCCATCGCCTCGTCTCCAAAGCAAACATTCAGGACTCGGCCCAGTAATCCGTTCCGCATGAGTTCGAAGTTCATACCACAGATTCGATAGCTGAGTAGATTAGATACCGATGCAACGGGCCGTGCAATTGACTACCAATGCCAACTGTTTTGAACACCAGCCGCCAGATTTCTTGCAAGGCGGCTTAAGCGGCAGCATGCTAGTTCAGATCCTCGTGCGATGAAACAAGCCTCTTGTGGAACCGGTTCAGCAACTGATCGCTACTTTTCCACGCAAGTGCTGTCCCATTGCATACGTCTGACTGGTCGAAGCATGGTGTGGTGTAACCGCAGCGCAAACGAACGGCTCGTTGCTGGCGTCAAATGCCAGCCGGCATCTGGCGCGACGTGTGCAATTTGCGACCTGTCTCTAACGGTAGCGGTATAACATCGCGACATATACCAGAAAGGCCGTTGCCACGCAATTGCTGCGCCGACATCATACAACAGTGTCACTCTGGCTCAGTTACCCTTCCGATACCCGCTGTCCCGTCCGCTAATAGAGTATTCGGCCGTTCCTAGTATCCATTAAGCGTAGAGCAAGGGAATCCTGAAACGCTTGAACAAATCCGTGACCATGTTGCCGCCGAGACGAGGAGCCAGTGAATGCATAGCTGCTCGCATAATCTTTTCTCAGGAGCCTGCTGGACAGCGTGGTCACGCCTCTCCTGTAAGACGCAGGCTACATACAGCTTCACGAGCCGTACAGGTGCAACCGAGCCGAGAGAATGTTTCGGATACTTATTCAATGAGCATCCTCCTCTTGGACAGGGACCGTCATCCATCTCCCCGACTCGCCGGCCTGTCTCAGCACGACTATGTCTGACTTCGGCTCCCACAGCTCCCACAGTCCGAGGATGGCCAGGACCGTGTATGATTTATCATAGGAGCCATAATCGACGCAAAAGGGCTCGAATCGTGACCAGTTTCCTCGTTTTGGGCTTCGAAAGTCTTGGAGGCTGACACTTTGTAGTTCCACGAAGAAGTTGCGCCTTGTCTCAAATTGGCCTGGACTTGTAGCGTGAGCAGTTCCTTCCCTGTGATGGCGACGCGTGGTGCGATTGACCTTCTCTATCAGCAAATTTTATCTTTGCCGACCTTTCTCCTTCTCCTCAATAGCCCTCGGTAACAAAGAGTTGGGCTTCAAAACATCGCGCTTCTCTTCCCTCTTCTTCTTTCGTCTACCTGCTCAAGATCCAAGTGCTGCAACAACCAAGCTGAACTCCTGACTCTGGCTTTTTTTTTGAGCAGGCCATACTGTTTTCTTCACAAATAATTGAGATAAAATCTTCGCTCTCCCCAGGAATCAATCATGACAACGGAGTATCGTGTGTCACTCTCGTACCCAAACCCATCCTTGGGACAGATGGTGGCAGGATCACAGACCTCCAACTCCATGGACGACGAGGCTTCACGGGCAAAACTCGGCTATGGAAGACCGTCCCAGGTGAAGGGATTGCATCAGGCAGTTCTAGTTATAACGTATGGCTTTCCCTCCTCTAGTCTTGCCGTCCTAACGGATGTAGGCTCCTTGTCGGACTTTTGATCTCGACCCTCGATACGACGATTGTGTCGACGTCGCTGGTAACAATATCGAACGACTTGGGTGACTTTGTCAACGCACCGTGGATTGTGTTGGCGTATCTGCTGACCTATATGGGTTCGAGTCCTGTGTCCTCCCGCATACAGATTCGGCCTCTCTAACAAACCTTTGTAGGGTTCGCCGTCTGCATTTCCAAAATGAGCGACATATATGGGCGGAAGAACATTTTAGTTCTTTCTTGGGTCATCTTTTCCGGCTTTTCCTTGGGCTGTGCCAATTCAAAACACATGACTGCACTGTACGTATGGTTCCAATCTCAGGCATTGCAAAACAGGAGAAAGGACGATAGTGACACATGTCCATCAGCATCGTATGCCGTGCTTTTCAAGGTATAGGAGCATCTGGGTTGTACAGTTTGACCCAGATAGCACTTGTTGAAGTCGGCCCTGTACACCGTCCCAGTCTGATCGGAGCTATGATCGGAGCAACACTTGCCATAGCCTTCGTTCTTGGCCCTCTACTTGGAGGTCTAATCTCTAGGCTCTCTGATTGGAGATGGCTCTTCAACCTTAAGTGAGTTCGCAAAGGTCCCGCGTGCCCGACCTGTGATGAACTTCTATTGATATTTGCCTATAACAGTATTCCCTTTGGACTAGTTGCCATTCTTGCCATTACGAGTTTCTGGCCCCTGGAAGACGTCTCCCATCTACTCTCTTGGGAGGCCTTTGCAAGTATAGACTTTATCGGTAGCGCTACACTACTCTGCAGCTCGTCGCTGCTCGTTTTTGCTATTCAGCAGGCCGGTTCCCAGACTTTTGCTTGGTCCAGTCCGGTTATCATATCAGCCCTTGTTGTATCGGGGGTAAGTTGGGCCGCATTTATTTATTGGGAGGTGGTCCTCGATTCGAAAAGGCACCGACATATCGAGCCAATATTTCCAATTCGGTTGATGTTGCACAGGGTCTATGCGTCAAGCCTCTTGTAAGAGCCCAATCTTCCTCACGCCTTTGAACAGGACTTGACGCGAAGCAGACTCACTCTCCTTACGGGATTTCCGTATATTTCTTTGACAATTATTATTCCGGAGCGGTTTCAAATCGTCCATGGTGAAGATGCTCTCATGGCTGGTATTCATCTCTTTCCACTTCTTGGCGCCTGTGCGGTCGGATCTTTCTTGGGGGGCGCAATATCCAGCAAACAGAACAACACCTCGTATACGCTCATTGGATCATCCTGCCTCCAACTTTTGGGGTTGGGGCTGATGACGACTCAAACAGGAGCAAAAAGTGCGGAGCCGTCCCAGTACGCCTACCAAGCAATATTTGGACTGGGGGTCGGTCTCTGTTTTTCGGCAACGACAATTGTGACGAGCATTTCCACGGCTGAGTCGAGTGAGAAAGCTACAGCACAAGGGGCTGTTGCCCAGGCCCGAGTGTTGGGGGGCAGCATAGGCCTTTCAATCTGCACAGTCATATTCAACATTCACGTGAACCGATATCTCGAAGGTCACTTAACCGAAGCGCAACTCGAGAGCCTTCATCGATCTCCCCTGTCAGGATTACATCTTCCAGTCGACCAGCGAGATCTTGTTAAGACCGTCTACGCTGGAGCGTACTCTGAGGAGATTAAGATATTGACTTGTATTTGCTCAATCATGGTGGTTGCTGCCCTTTTCACTATAGAGAGGCATCCCACGCCGTTGAGAATCGTGAGTTCAAGGTCCAAAGAAGATCAGTTCTCACGGCGCGGCAGTGATTCAGAGACGGAAATGGCGGACCTTCACAATACCCACCAAATCGTCTAAGATGGCGTATCACCATTTGAATCACGCCTCCTTATACGGCAGTATTTCGACACCGTGTTGGATTTCGCGTCTCCACAGGACATGCCTTCAGCTAATGCAACATGATAACTTTCAAATTCGAGGTAAAGTTATGGTATAAACTCAAGTTGCGGCGGATCGCGTCTCATTTTATCCTCTTCATAAGATGTTTTGCTATGCTATGTGCTTATTTTTTGGAACAATTTGATCAAGAGCCAGCAGATTATACGTTCTTGTCCGGTGTTGTAGCTTTGATGTCATGAGTGGCGGTCGATGAGATCAGTGTATGATATACGATATGGATTCTTGCTCCTCCTTTGTTGTTATAAAAGAAAGAACAAATAAGCCGAATGGAAGAGTGAAAGACTTGACCTGGTAGTCATGCGTCCAGTACAGGACCCTCGTCGCCGTAGATGGGGTCTTTGCTAAACCATGGCAAATCCTTGATGCTGTTGATCATTGATTCTTCGCCATGCTTACCGTAGCACATGTCCCAGTTGTTGCCATTGGGATAGCTTCCGACCATGAGGAACGGATCGCTGTCCTTGTCTTCCAGCAGACGATGGCTGACGCCAGCTGGAACGATGATGACGTCTCCTTTCTTGACGACGGGCTCGACGCGCCCGGGATTGCATTCGCCTCCAAAGCACAGCTTGGCACGACCGGCTGTGACGCATAGGACCTCGTGAGTCGTACTGTGGAAGTGCGTGGTGTTATACATGGTGTAGCGCCATTGAGGGGTGACGACGCCGATTTTGAGGAGATGGGATTCGATCTGGTCTGGCGAGGCCTGTGCAGGGGAGAAGGCGGAGTGGTAGATGATGAGGGGCTTTGACTGGAGAGATGAGTTGGGGATGAGGTCGTGGGCTGGGATTTGGTGTTTGGAGATTCGGAGGCTGGAGAGGGGAGTTGGATCGAGGTTGAGGCTGTTGGCACACATGGCGAGCTACCCTGAAGGAGATGGAGGGAGGGAGCTGAAGATGAGGAATGAGAGGGGTTTGGTTGGATGTTTGTTTGTTTCGATTGAAGAGTGGTGTTGTTGAATTTGACGGGGAATGTTTGACGTCAAAACGAGATGCTGGTTGGACCTGGGAGTTGGAATCAACATGATGTAATGATGGTGTTGCGTGGGGGCTGTGGCCGCGTTAGTCTTTGCCATTGCATCTTCGCCAAGCAAATTCCGAATACCAAGATGAGGCACATGACAGCACCTGATTGATTAGTATAACAGCCATTCTAATCACTATGGAGCAATGCTTATTCCGTCAAAACAAGGTTTTTTTTTTGCGTTGAGTTCACTTTATTTTCTTTTCTTCTTCTTCTAAAGCGGGCGTCTATCTTTCATCTCAATGCAAGCGCTTACTTGCATTGAAACAATCTTGTCCCGGCTCCATCAGATCAGATCAGAGAGTGAACGGCTCTCTTCAGGGCGCAACACCTCCGACGACCTGGGGCTTGAAGTAGACGGTCATGATGCCCTCGACACCGAGAGTCATGGCCACCTTCTTGAGGGCCTGGTGCGCGACACACTCCTCGTCGTAGTACTTCATGTCCTCGAGGCTGGCGAATTCGGACTTTGAGACGAAGGTGAAGCCCTGGGAGCGCTGGTCGGGCTCGGCGGGGCCAGCGGCTAGAGAGAGGATGTAAGGCTGGCCGTCCTGGATTTATTATAGACAAGTCAAGTCAGCTTTTTTTTTTTTTTTTTTTTTTTTTTTTTTTTTTTTTTTTTTTTTTTTTTTTTGAGAAGTCAAAGGGTGAGGGGTTGGATTTGATGTGGTCACTGCGCTCAAAGCATGTATATAGCTTCATGTTTAATAAAGCAAAAGAAGAGCTCAATTCACCTTTCTGTTGTTCTCCTTGAGGGTCTTGTACTCCTCCAGAAGCTTCTTCTGGCTCTCCTCGCTGGGGAGCTTGAACAAGGTGATTCGGTGGACGCGGTCTGCCATTTTGACGGATGCTGAGGAAAGGAATCTGAGGGCGGCGGGGTACGGGATTGACGGGCGCGGGGCAATTGCAATTTGCTTGGAGTTGAGAACCAGAGGTCATGGGAGAATTACCGTAGGTATTTATATATAAGCCGAGGGAAGTGAAGGAGGAGGAGAGAAGCGGAATCGGCTCCGCAGGCCAACAAAAAGAAAAGGGATTGGATGGGACCCAACAGCAACAGCTAGAGAGCTGAGGTGAGCTCTAGCTAAAACTAATGATGGTCAATTGTGCTGGAACGGGGAATTACTGTAGCCCCGCGGCTTGGATCGGGAATGGCAGATTGCGGTAGTTCGGCCAAGGTTTGGGGGGGGAAAAAGCCGGTGACGCGGCTGTTGCGGCGTGGGATGAGTATTTCGTGGATGGATTCATTGATTGATTAATCAGGAGTATGACTTAATTGTCTACATACTTACTTATATATCGCCTCATGGGATCTGTGATTAGTGTTTTGGTCAGGATAAGCAGGCGGTTGATCACCTCGGGATTTGTGTCGTGATTTGTTAGTACCTATAGGTGGAAAATAAGCGGCGCGGAAATGCGAACCGGTGGGTCACAGGCGGCTGCTGGGAAATCCTGGATACCAGCATCGCATTATCGGAAGATATACGAGTATCAAATATGCCAAAACCATACGGACGGCAGCATATGATTGGATGATGCAGCATTTTCTCCGGGATTTAATTTGCCGCATCTGCGAGCTGTGAATGACAAGGGGCCTTGTTTTTTTGGGCCAGCGCTTTTCCTGATTGTTTTTTTGCTGGAGGTGTTGATACCTTGTCACTTAAGGTGGTGAGTGGGAAGACTTGATGAAATGCAGAGATATAAAATTTCACCTAGATGAATGGTTTTTGCAAAGGGAAACAAAACAAGTCACTCGTGAGAGAAGGGAAATAGATACCTCGGAAGTAGGCACATACGAACACTCACTCCAATTTCTTTCTCCCACCTAGTAGGCTAGACAGCATCTACGTCTATCACTATACACTGATGAGATGCGCTATAATATGCTTGAATCACAAGAATCTTTTCAGTAGAGCATAGGTAGGTATAAGACGGTGGATGTGTTATGCTCTGATAGTTTTACGACACTGCCTTGTAGGGAGGGAAGAGTCCAGTGCTTCCAAGCCCCCCTTCCTCATCCGTACCAACAAGCATCACTTCCATACTCTCCGTCTTTAATAGAATTTCAACCTCTCTTTTCCAATCTATAATCATCATTCGTTCATATCTTACGCCCACGCACATCTTCGGCCAGATATCCGCGTCTACTTCAATCATTCTCCCCGAGTGTCCGCGTTGCCCCTGACAGCCAACACTCGCCAGCTGGTGACTGATTTTGCATCTCTTCGTCCGTCCGTCCATATTACTCATTGGATATAAAACATCTTGACAGCTGGCAGCCGGTCTCTACCAGTACCTTGTTTTTTATTTATGCCCAGCACGCGTCGAGGTTGACCGCGTTACTGATCTGCCAGCTGGTGGTGCTGCAGTCCCCATTGCACCGTGTATTTATTTTCCTCTGACGCGTTCTCTTGCTCTCTCTTTTCTTCTTCCTTCCATCCTCAACCACCCTCAACCGAGTCTTGTTTGATCAACGCCGCCACCCCCAAAGCTTCATCAATACCATCACTCACTTAGCAATCACTCAATACCAGCGAGAGGATCTCTATCCATCTGTCAGCATCAAACAAACCCCCTTCGTGAGCAAGCTCTCTCCTTCTCCCTGCATCTCTACCATCACAAATCCCAGCCTCTGCCCTCATGCCTACAACGTGAGCTCTCGCTGACACTCTAGACTTTGGAACAACCGCAGCATCTTGCACTCAAGATGGATCTCAGCGCTAGCTACCGCCTTGGCTACATGCGGGACTGCATCTACCGTTGCTACAATGTTGCCCAAGAAGACTCCCAGTCGAAGAACCCTATCCTTCATCACTGGGAGATGACTTCTCCAGGGTACAACTACCACTTCTGCGCGGTTCATCGTGTCTATCACTGCATGGCTACCAGCTCCCGAGTTGACCAGCCATGCTGTGGCGAGTGTGCTCCCGCATACTACAGCCAAGTCCCCGAGGTGACTTGGATCCGAGAAAATGACTATCACTTCTCCTTCTACAGCGTGCCCCCTGAGTTCATGCAGATGATGACGGGTGGTGCTGTTCGAGGAGATACTCGCGGTCCGGCCGTCCGACTCGCCACCATCTTCCCGCTTCCCAGCGACGTGCCAGAGCATGGCTCGGCTCTCGAGGCAGTCCCCCGACACGACGCCACGTACAGAGAGCTCGGTTCTAACCTGATGGCCCATCGACGCCACGCCGGCTTGTTCCTCATGAGATTTGTCGACTACGACGGACTGCCTGGCTGGTTGCTCTGCGGTCGTAGCATGACTCAGGACTCGTTTGCGCACCTTGCTGAGGCCGAGCATAACGGCGACAGCGTCATGAAGTCTGCTCGGCTCTGGGCTTGCCAGCAGCTGGGTTGTACCATGCCTCAGGACGTTCGCTGGATCCTCTGGTCCATCTATATGCTTGCCAGCAAGGCCCTTTCCAACCCTCTCCCAACCGAACAGGAGGCATGGATGTGGCGTAGCTGGCTCTGGTATTGGTATACCAAGGCTAACGAGCTCGCGGCGTACTACCAGATGGACATTTCCACTCCGGATGAAGATTGGTTCATCACCCCGCCCTCCGACGTCCACCCTGTCTCTCGTCCCTGCAACGGCGATGCTGCAAGTGATGCCTCTACCGCACAGCGTAATGGCTCTATTCCATCTGACCACGACGACATTATGGACCAGTCTTTCGTGGCCTCTGATAGCAATGGCGAAGACGATGCCTGCAAAGATGCTGCTTCCAATATGTCTGGATCTGCTACCAAGTAAGTCACCACTATTATTTACCGCCGTCAGCGTGTTTTGCTGTACCTCTAAACAGCCATAGACTGACATTAAACTCCCTCCTTTTAGCCAAAATCATTCGGAATCTCCCGGTGCTGATTCGTGGTCTACCGAGTCGTCCTCTACCGAGACTTCGTCTTCTGAAACGCCCTCTTCTGAGGCCACCGTCCGCGAGTCATCCCTCTCGATGACAGGACTCTCTACCACTCTAGCTTCCATCGAGGAGGATGAGGGTTCTGAAGCCGATACCGATCAGTAGGTACTGGTTGAGAAAGATTTATCCTTCGCTGTCTGCAACAGACACTGGGGGAGACAGTCCTGGCGATGATCCAGTCCTCTCACCTGGAAACCTGGAGGCTGTTTTGTGGCGCGATCCTGTCATTCTACCGTTCGTTTTTCTGTTTCACTTGTTTCATTGGGTCGCCATGAAAAGCTTTTCGCCTTGCTCAACTTCGAGAGAGAAGCAATTGTTATCTGTTGCGCTTGCAAATTTCGGTCACTATACGCTACTGCAAAATTCGGGTTCGTCTACTGCTATTTTGTTTCTTGCCTTTGCCTACACATCACATCCAGGATCGACAGAACTTTGGAAATAGGACTTGAGCATAGCACCTTTACAAAGCAAAAACGACCAACAAAAAAATTTCTGGGTTGATTCGGCCTTCATTCTTGTTTTGCTGTATATTCTGGTCAGGGATCACAAAAGTTATTGTCTTTGTTTGCTATCGGTTTCTTGCTGCGCATTACGGTAATTGTCAACAAAAGGGAAAAGGTACGGTTCGGTCTGCAATTGTTTTGTTGTTTTCACACACACACCAAAAAAGAAAGAAAAAAAGAGGGAGGACACAAGCTCTCTCAAGAAAAAAAGAAAAAAAAAGTTTGGTCATGTTTGGTTCTGTCTTCTTTACGGCAGATTACGGTCAGGGTCGACGACATGGGAGAAGTTCTGCTTGGTCTACTACTATTTTGTGGTTTCTTGCCTTGCTACAGTTTGCAATCATGGGGTTGAAGAAATAGTCTGGTTTGATCTGCATTTGGTTCTTCTTTCTACCCCTTTTGGTTTCTTCGTTAGAATTCTACACTTTGGGGAGGATGACATCCAAGCGACATCTGGTACACATTCTTTGCATTTTGTTTGCTCTAAGCTGAGGTCATGACATGACACTGGTGGCCGTGGGTTCACACGATGGTTCAAGGGGAGCCCCGATATTTGGCATGGAAGCGAGAGAGGATAGCTGAGCTTAGGGATAGCGCTGGTCTACCAGCGATGTTTGAGTCAATTGAATGAGTTATTGTAAATGCTGATCTAGTGCCGGTGTGATCAATGTTGAAGATGTGTGAGGGATACAAGAGGAAATGCTATTCCTTTCTTTCTATCTTTGCACTTTTTTTTTTACTCTAGTAGGTGTCTACTCTATCAGAGTCTCTCTATCTAATGGCATAAACGATGCTTGTTTCCCCCAGCCTTGACTAACCAAGCTGCTCAAACCCCCATCTCCACCCCCAACAATTCCATGAATATGACTCAATCAAGGCTTCATCTCTCTCACTCCTCTCAGTTCCCCATGGCCAACGAGATATACACCCCCCACGCAACTCCCGCCAACGCACCCACCAGATTCCTCCCCTGCACAGACTTGACAAGCGTAAAGTTGACGAGCGACACGGCCGGCCAGAGCTTGGCGGCGGCAAACATGAGGGTCCAAAACTCGGCCTTTGCGGCAGCCCAGACGGTTCCAAAGTCGACGCGGCTGAAGTCGACGGCGCCGGCGCTGGACCAGTACTTTGCAGCGGAGGGCAGGCTGGTGATGCGCGGGGCGTGGACCATGGCCTGGCGCAGGGAGTGGGTGAAGGTGCTGAAGAGGAGGGTGTTGAGGGCGGCGCCGACGGTCTGGTCGAGGAGGAACTTGATGGTTGTGTTGACGAGGGAGAGTTTGGGAGGAGGAGGAGGCTGTGATGATGATGATGATGATGATGATGATGGGGATTTCTTGGAGTTTGAGGGGGGGTTGGAGGAGGGGTGTGCGGGAAATGTTGACTCGAGAAAGTCTTGCCTGTTGGGAGGGGGTTAGTGTCAAGATGCAGGATGTTGTGTTATCTGTTATGGGGGGATTATTTGGGGTTGAGATGGGGAAATGATGAGGGTGCAAGATGGATGGAGGAACTTACCAGAGAAAGTTTGGCGGCGTGCTCACCACGGCGAAGAGGACATATTGGAACACGGGCACCCAGTCTATGGTCACGGCTTCCTATCAGACATGCATCGCATTAGTCGACTGTTGTCTTTTCATATAATTTCAAAAGAGGTAGATGGTGAATATCATCAATGTTTGTGGATGATTTGATTACTCACGTTGTTTCGGTATGCGGTGATGGCTTGCGCGAGGATATTGGACAAGGCTGCCAAGAGGGAAGACTGCAGCGTTGCCTGGATGATGGGTGACGGTGCCATGGTTGGATGGATGCCGTTACTGGGATACAACTTTTAATAAATATATGCGTACGAATAATGAATGATGATGTGGAATAAGAGAAGAGGAATGAAGAGGGAGAGGGAGAGAGACGACGGTATGGATGGCGTCAGGCTTTGGAGTCCAAGATTTTGCGAAATTCGAGGCAGGATGATGGTTATAAAAAACCGACGGGATGGAGTCACTGACTAACGTCAACGTAGCACTAGGGCGATAACAGTGTTGCGTTGCACCAAATGCCTAAGGAACTGCTTTTTCATAAGCAGCAAATCGGCCATGACAAACTGTTCAAATAGCTGACAGCACGTTATGTCGTGACCGTGCCATTTCGTGCTCAATGCGACCTCTTACAGCGACGTCTTCCAAGCATTACATGTCATTTCACATGAGAACACCTGTCATTACGGACAGTGTAGATTGTTTGTTTTCTTTGAATCTTGTGCCGCTTTTCTGCCTCAGCTGATTGCATCTCGGAAACGTGGCCCCTTCCAAGCAAACATCAGCATGATCCTCTGCTCTCCCCTCCCCAACTGTTCCTGGATGAACCAAGGCTTCTCTCTTCAGCTTCTCCCTCACAATCGAACAAGCATCGTCTGGTGAATAATTAAGTGGAACAAGTCTAACCCCCGCAGTGGAGCGGAAACCCTCAAAACGCCGCCGATAGCGCCAGCCTCACGCGTCAATGCCGGTCCATACCATAGGTATGTAAATATATGCACATCACAGTTTGACCTCTTTATCCCGTGTTTCTAACGCCTCTCGTGATATCCTATGGCGTCCTTTCTTCTTCCTTCACAGATGCAAAAGCCAAGGCTCATCTTTGACGCCTCATTCCTGTTTTTATTTCTCTTTCCCCCTATCAAATCGGTTTCAAGGCCTAGTGAGAAGCCACATAAAGAATAGCTGGACAAGGTAGGAATAGAAGAAAAGGAACTGTGTCCTCTGGTTTCGCTTCACCCTGGTGTCGGTTTGCATAGGTCCCCCGGAGTTTGTGGCTGTTTCAGGTAAAAGGACGTATTTCAGAGATCGCATCTAAACAGCCGGCCAATTAGCATTGCCATAATCAGGGAAATGGGCGCCGAAAACCGATGTAACAGCATACCAAGAAAAGGGAGTTGGCCAAGAAAGTGTAGATAAAGACCAACCACCCGACCCAGCCTCCGGTACCCTTGCCGCCGTTGACAATCTCGGCAATGGCAATGGTAACAATGATGCCAACGAACTTGTAGCCAGAGTAGGCAATCAGATCAAGCAGTTGGGACTGACTGGAGATGCTCAGGAGGTAGCATCCCACCTTCAACGCGATGATTTCGAAAATGACAACGCCGAGCGCGATTGTTGCTGTGTATCCGAGAAGCTCAGGGTTGAACTTGCCCCTCACACCGGCAATCAAAGTAGATAGAAGAATATACGTGACCAATGCCATGACTATATCGAGCATGTTCATGTTAGCTACCGTTCCCTTGCGTATAACTGCTATTTCGACGCGCGCAACCGACCTGGTATGTACATATCGGGGCTGTTGATGTCGTCTCGCGGCGGCAGATAGCGCAGCTCCTGGCCGTTTGCTCCCACGGCTTGTTTACGGGACCAAGGCTTGTGCCTCCAGGGGAACAGAACCAGGAAGAGCTTGTTGATGACGTAGAAGTTGGAGACATTGAAGTAGTACTTGAGCGCGGAAACATTGACGTAGCGGCCGATCTGTGAAGCAGAGTATACCTAGGTTAGCTAGAGGAACAAAGAAACGACTCGGTCCAAATAAACGGAGACGGGGGCATGATGGACACACGTTCTGTTCCACATATTCCTGGCCGTGCTTGAAGGCCGTCTGGCCAAACTGCGCCGCCACCTGGGCCGTGGGATCGTTCATGAACTGGCCGTATGCGCCAAAGGCATTGCCCACGTTGCCGCCCTGCTGCTGCTGGTACGGATTCCCGCCATAGCCGAGCTGCTGCGACTGCGCGGACCCCGGAGGCGGAGGCGGTGATCGGAGCTGGGGAACCGTGGAAAAGTGCTGCGGCACCGGGTGGTGCAACGGAGGGGACTGCGCCGCCCGATGCATGATTTGGAGCTGAAAGGAAAAGGCAGAAGACGAGAGAAGGAAATGCTTTTCTTCAGCTCGGAGGCGAGGGCGCGTCGAAACGAGACGGGGAGGCTGTTGGTGAGAGAGAGAGAGCCTGGCTGTGGGTGAAGATGGCGATGTTCGAGATGCCAGGTTGGAGCAGAATGGAAATGTGGTTGACTTGGCTGCTGCAGCGTCATACATGCACCTGCTGGAGGCGCTGAGCTCGATGCGCGCATTGGGGGCGTTGCAGGGGGCGAGTACTTTCGAGTACATGCAGCCATGCGCGGGACCCAGCTCAGCCCAGGTACAGGCCCCGTACTGAGTACTCGTACTAGAGCCGCACCGGGCCTCTACTAAGAGTGCTATACCGTGGCCTCTAGGGAGTTTGTAGGGCGCTTTTTACACTGCTAGACATTTCACCAGGCCATTGACACGTGATCCGGCTTCTGTCCTTGATCCCCATCGCGTATGTACTCCGGAATCCGATATGGATCGTGATGGTGATTGTGATTGTAGTTGTGGAATTGCAAAAGAGGCCAGATTCGGCTCGGAGACGCCTCGGCTGCCGATGGAGTTAATTGACAAAGCGGTGGAAATGCGCGGGAGGGTGTGCCGTCTCCAAAGTTCCAGAGCTGAAGAAGCCTTGATTGTGCCTTGCATCGTATCTCTACTTTGTCGCCACCTCACAACTGCTAGCGCAAAGTGGTCTCTCGACTTGTAAACTCTGCCTCTGCCTCTGTAAAGAACGGTGTGGGATTTTGATTTTAAAATCTCAGTATTAATCCATAATTGCCATCGCTTTGCATCTTGATTTTGCTAGGGTCGGCTCTTCTTTGCTGGCCTCTTCTCGTTGCTTTGCACTTCCACCAGCTTCCACTCCTTATCGTTTATCTGGATGACTACACCTTAACCTTTTCCCTGACCTTTCCATTCACCACTTCCTCTCTCTCTCTCTCTCTCTCTTCCTCTCTTCACGCCTCTCCCCAGGTCGCAAATCCCGTCTCGAGCCTCCCGAATCGACAGCGACTCCCTAATTCAACATGTTGGATGCGTTCGAGGTTCTCACCACGTCTGGCGTGGTTCTCTGGTCCAGGACATATGCGCCCGTCAGCCCCTCCATTGTCAACAATTTCATTGCCGACACGTTCATCGAGGAAAAGACGGGCACCATTGCGCCCACCGATTCGCAGTCGGCCGCGAGCAATCCGGCCTATAGAAGCGACCAGCACACTCTGAAATGGACTTTTGTCAAGGAATTGGGCTTGATCTTTGTGGTATGCGCATCATCTGGGCGTGGGCGGCGCAAGTGCTGTTCTGCGTACATGTGTCCGGTATACTAATCGCTTTGCTACCTCAGGTTGTCTACCGTTCTCTGCTGCACTTGTCATGGGTCGATAAGCTTGTGGACAACATCAAAACCATCTTTGTCGAGCTATACGGCGAACAACTCACCAAGCCCCATACTACCCTCGTCGAATGCCACTCGTTTGGTGAATACTTCGACCAGCAGCTGCAAGAGCTAGACAAGTCGAGTCATGTCGGGTCTATAAGTCCTATAGACGAGGAATCCTCCTCCCATCCCGCGGCAGCAGGCCTAAAATACAGAGGCCATGCTCCCAATGGTACCGCTGCCCATGATACCACATCAGCTGATTCGACGCCTATCCAAACACCCAACGCTTCACGCCCCTCGACTCCCGGCAACTTGGTTGTTGCCAAGGCTGGCCCTGTGGCCAAGATGTCCAGAAGAGCCCGCAAGGCTCACAACTCTGGTTCAGCACCTGCGTCGTCTGGAGACGAGGCGTTGGCTTCAAGTCGACAGAAGAAGGGCGCCAAGGCGACGAAGAAGGGCCGCAAATGGAACGCCGAGGGGTTCGCTGACGAGGAAGACGACGATGTGCAGCTGGATTATTCCCGGCCTAATCTCACCAGTGATTCGGAGGCTGAGGCAGTTGGGCGGTCTAGCGCTCTTGATGTTGTTGAGTCGTCTACATGGGGATCTACAAGCAAAGGCAAGTTCATTCTCAAGGACTTGGGAGACGAGGTGCACGACATTTTGGCCTCGGCAGAGGCTCAGAAGGCCGAGAAGGCCGCGCGAGCAGACACCAAGACTGGTCTCTTGGGCTCTGGAGTCAATGCCATTAGTGGGCTGTTCCGAAATGTGGTCGGTGGCAAGACTTTGACCAAGGAGGATCTCGACAAGGCCATGAAGGGCATGGAAGATCATTTGCTGCGCAAGAATGTGGCGCGCGAAGCAGCTGTTCGCCTCTGCGAGGGTGTTGAAAAGGAGCTGGTTGGTGTCAGAACTGGAAACTTTGAAAGTGAGTGCAGATACTCGGTTCCCCCCTTCTTTTTTTTGTTGCTTCACTTTGTCTCTGAGGAAAGGGTTGCTAATTACTTATACCATAGGTATCAACGCCAAGATCCAGGCGGCAATGGAGTCATCTCTCACCAAAATGCTCACTCCCACCTCATCCCTCGATCTTCTTCGTGAAATCGACTCCATCACAGCTCCACCGGTCACGTCTCTGCGCAAAGCTCGGCCCTACGTCATCTCCATCGTCGGAGTCAACGGCGTCGGCAAGTCCACCAACCTCTCCAAGATCTGCTTCTTCCTGCTGCAGAACAAGTACAAGGTCCTCATCGCCGCCGGCGACACGTTCCGTTCGGGCGCCGTCGAGCAGCTCGCCGTGCATGTGCGGAACCTCAAGGAGCTCACGGCCCGAGAGGGAGGAAGAGTCGAGCTGTACCAGAAGGGGTACGGCAAGGATGCTGCTGCCGTCGCCAAGGACGCTGTGAACCATGCGGCTCAGGAGGGCTACGACGTCGTTCTCATCGATACGGCTGGGCGGAGGCACAACGACCAGAGACTCATGTCCTCGTTGGAGAAGTTTGCCAAGTTTGCTCAGCCTGATAAGATTCTCATGGTTGGTGAGGTACGTTTGCGGATTCATATCTCCCCTACAATTGATCGAGTATGTTGCTGCTCATCTACTAACTATCTACCCCAGGCTCTGGTTGGAACAGACTCTGTTGCCCAGGCGCGCAACTTCAATGCGGCCTTTGGCTCTGATCGCGCCCTAGACGGCTTCATCATCTCCAAGTGCGACACCGTCGGCGACATGGTCGGCACCCTTGTCAGTCTAGTCCACGCGACGAACGTGCCCGTTGTGTTTGTGGGAGTTGGGCAGCATTACTCTGACCTGAGGAATTTTTCTGTCAAGTGGGCTGTAGAAAAGCTGCTGAGCAGCAATTAATGTGTATAACAAGAAAAAATCATGAGTAGATGACAAAAAGCCTTATCCTAGTAGTAATTGGATATATAATACGAGTTAATATTTATCACTACAATTTTCTCGTTTGCTTTCTTCCTCTGTCAAACGTCACATAACTGGCAACAAACGCATGTTCAAAACAGCCAAAGAAAAGTTGATCGAAAATCTCATTGCAAGCTTCATTTAGTCCATTAATACTATAAGTCTGCAGACTAGTTCCATACCATGCACCCGCTGCCGTATTCCTCCCGTGCGTCCATTCGTTGCAAACCCCCTTTTTTAAAAAGTCACATTAATCACTAGGCAGCATGAAATGAGCGACCCGAAAATCATATCCATCCCTCCCACCATGCCGTATCAAAAAAGGGGAGAAGAAGGAAAAAGAGAAACAAAAAGTAGGAACAGACACTAGGGAAAAAAGGAAGAAGAGAAAAAAAGAAAGAGAGAAAGAGAATCAAAAGCTCAACACGGCAAAAAGGCCAGCGCCAGAGTTTTATAAAGACGATCAAAAATGTAACAGTAATCGAGAAAGAAATAATATGTACCAATATCAGCCGCCCAAAACACTTCCAATATAAACGTTCCTCTTTTTTTCATGTTTGTGTGAATTGTTGGTGTCGTGTTATATATGTGTATACCAATCTGAGGGACAATCTTTTTTTCTTTTTTCGGGTTTGGTTTTTAGAACTTTGCGTGTAATCTTCAACCATGTGAATATCAAACAAACAGCACAAAATCCAAACGGGTATCTCTTCTAGGGTTGTGTGTAATCGCAGTCTGGTATTGATTTAGAGAGTGGATCGTCTCAAATCACAACGCGGGTAGTATAATATCTCTTCTTCTCAAGCGGAAAAAAGAGCGGGCATAAGCGTTAAAGGCAAGATACAAAGGAAAGGTGATAAATATAAAGAACAACGTCTCGTCTCAGGTTATGATAACAGGTTGTTCGAGTAAGCATCTGGTATCTCACATCATCTTCTACTCCGTCATCGGGGCACAGCAGGCTTAGTCCTCCTCAAAGAAGTCATGGTCGTCGAAATCCCCAGGCTGCGCGTCCTCATCATACACAGTTTGGTGTACCATAGGAGGTGTCACTGGTTCAGCCGCCAACTCTTGACGTCGGTGGGAGAGGTCCTTGAAGTGCAGTTTGTCAGATCGATGAGATACGTTGGACTCTCGGCGTGCCCGATCCTGAACGCTCTGACCTGTAAATCGCCGTCCGATGCTGGAAAACGCGGTAGGCTGCAGGCGGCCGTCCGGGGTGGGGGACTGCCGAAGCGCTGTAGCTGGAGGCGTAAGAAGCCCGCTCAGAACGCCGCTGTTCTGCATCGAGTCATTTCTGCTCTTAGAGGGAGTGGAATTGCCCGTAACAGCGGGCGAACTCAACACTCCTGAAATGCCTCGGAAGCTGGACTGGCCACTCCTGCGCCAATTGCCCCAGGCAGCTGCTATGGGAGCAATGGTTTGTGCTACACGGGGTGTTGCGGCTTGGATTGTCTGAGCAATGTTGGGGAGGGTGATGGCTGAGCCGCCGTTCATGGCCCTCTCACGCTCTTGTTCCTCCATTTGCAAGTTGGCCTTGAGTCTGATGGCAGCATCCTTGACGGCGGCGCGGTCGAACCTATCTCCTGAGAGCGCCACGATAATATCTTGAAGATCGCCCTGTCTCACAGCAAGAAGCTCGCGCAGCCAGCTAATCTCGTCGTCCCGCTTGGCGATCTTGGTCGCCGCGTCGGGGTCAAGTTCAGTGACGGTCTGCTCAAGCTCCTCAATGCGCTGTTCGCGAGCCTGCAACTGTTCTTGGAGAACCATGATGGATTCCCGGAGAGCTTGTGGGGAAATCCTTTCCGGCATTTCAACCCGCTCTACTGGTTTCGCCATCGTGGGGCTCAAGAAGGAAGAGTCAACGCCAGCCGACTTCGCAGCTTGAGCTGCGGCGGCAGCGGCCTGCTTCGTAATCTCGAGCTTATCCTCAAGATGAAGGATGCGGTCCTGGAGATGTTCCGTCTTGGACGTGGACAGACTGAGGCGCTCCAATAGGTGCTGCTCTGTTCGCTGTCCATCCTCGACTGCATTGTGGACTTGGCGTTCCCAGCGAGTTTGGAGATCCTCCAGTTCGTTTTGGTGCTTGCGCTTGAGTTCATCTAACTCGCTGGCACTGTTGGATTGAGCACCTTCGAGAAGCATCTCGTTCTGAGCCTTGGCAGTATCAATCTCGAGCTTGAGATGATCAAGCTCAGCGCGCAACTTGGCATTCTGCTCTTCGTATTCTTCACGAACAACGTTGACCTGGTTGTTGGCAGCGTCGAGCTCAGTCTGCAGGGACATGCGAGTTCTCTTAACTTCACTAGCCCCCGATTCTCGAGCTTCTTCAAATTCGCGCTGGTATCGAGCAGAAGACTGATGAAGCTTGGCATTTTCGGTGCGCAGCTCAGAAAGCATCTCCTCAAGGCGATTGCACTCGTTGACAGCACGCATACCAGCACGCTCATTATCTTGGAGCCGCTCCATTTCAACCTCAAGACGTTCTCTAGTCTTAGATTCGGCCTGCAGCCGCGCTTCCAAGACATCTTGGCGTGCCAACATGGCCTGGTCTCTCTTGATGCGTCGCGCGTTTTCTTCGGCGACCTCGCGGGCAGCCTGGCCCATGTCTTCCTGAAGAGCGAGGAACTTGGCACGCCACGACTCACGAAGTCGCTCGTTTTCTTCAAGCTGAGAAATGACGTTGTTGAGAGACTTGTGAAGGCGCTTGTTTTCATCCAAAGCATGGCCAAGCTCACCATTGCTGCGGCGAGCGGCTTCGTCAGCCCGCTCAGTCTCGGCCCTCCAGGTGTTGTTGTCCTGGCGGACGTTGCGCAGATCGGCTTCGAGGACATTGATCCTGTTTGCCATTTCAGCTTGGTGGTGGGTCCAGTTATCACGAACAGCCTCCAACGTAGTCAGTTGCAGAGTAGTCTTGCCGGCAGAGTGCTCAAGTGACTTGATGGCCTGTTCTCTTTCTTCCACCATTTCGCGTAGCCGAGCCTCTTCTTCAGAAGCGTTACGGAACAAACGCTGGATTTCGGATAGGTTATCCTCGGCAACACGTCTGTTCTTGACTTCTTGCTCATTAGCATCCTCTTGGGTCCTCAGCCTCGCTTCGAGATCAGCGACACGTTGGTCGAATACACTGCGGTTGATAATTTCGATTTCCACCCGAGTCTCCGCTGATTGTAACTTTCGGTTGAGCTCAGCCGCTGCATCTTCTGCGACTCTGCGCTCAGCAATCTCCCGTTCAATCTTCTCTTGGTCCTGGCGGTGTCGTTGCTCCAGCTCTGCAGTCTTTGCTTGAAGTTCGAGAATCTGGGCAGCAAGCCCTTCATCGGGCTTAGCTTGGAGCATGTTCTCAAATGGAGCAAGAGAAGTGCCATCATCGCGAGGCGTGGGCCTAGCACTCGAAACTAACAGCTCCTTAATCTCATCGAGGGATCTCAGCAGCGTTACATCATCATTAATCTCCGCGGTGTTAACCAACTCGCCGCGTTGCTGTGTAGCTAAAGCTTCGACGACAATCGAGCGAATCTGATCCAGCCTACGGTCTCTCTTGGGACTCGTTGAGCGACGAGGAAGTGGTTCCTCATCTTCGTCATCAGCATCACTCTCTTGGTACTCCATTGAGCCGCCGCGGATGTCACGTCGAGAAGAAGGAGCACGCTGGTCTTTGGATGAGAAAGTTTGTTGGAGAGAGAGCAGGGCCTTCTCAAGAGGCGCCAGTCTGGATGCCAACAGGGTACCGACGACTTCGTTGACGCGACCGTCGAAGAATTGGGCACGGTTCTGAAGCTTCGAGTGTTCATCCTCAGAGAAGGCGCCTTCCCAATCGCTGACGGGCTCACTGTCAAGTTCGCCATCTCCAAACGCGTTGCCACGCCTGAGAACCTGGGCACTCAAAGGCGGGTCTACGAATGGATCTTCCAGCTCGGTACTCAGCATTGGCTGAGAAGCATTGTCCGGTACATCGCTGTACTGACGGGGAACAACACTCCTTCCTTCACGCGCATGATCCGAAGGAATATGCAGCTCCTCAGACGAGTCGTGAATCTCGACGGATGGCTGAGGATACTTGAATGTCTCAATGGACTTGTTAATGCCCTGAAAATGATCCATCTCCATCCGCTGCATGACTGCGTCAATCTCTTCAAAAGTAGGCTCGTGCCTCTCACCGTTAGTGGTGGGCGTGGGGTTCAAGGTGCTAGCCTCTTCCTGCACCAGCTCGACTTCAGCATCATCTTGCTCGGCAGTAGGGGCGGGAGTCAGTTCTGCAAAGTGGGAAGCAGCCAAGCCCGACGGCTTAGGCAATGCAAAACGAGACCCAGAAAGGCCCTTGGGAGTAAGTTTGCGTCTAGTATCCGGCAGTCGAGGATCTTCAGGAGCAGAGAGTACCTGAAGCTGTGTGGATGAAGAGAGTCCTTCTGTATCGGAACGAGGTTCGGTTTCCTCGGGGAGAGACACAGGGGTAGCCACCGACAAAAGCCTAGGCGTATGTTCAAATGACGAGGTCCACTTCGCGGATACTTCAGCCGGCGAAGTCTCTGAAGGTGCGGCAGTCGTAACTTGGGTGTCAATCTGGTCAACGGATGACATCGAAGTGTCGGCAGGCAACACAGCTTCTCCATCAACTGAGCCTTCCTCAGCAATGCTTCGTGATTCCTTAACGGATGACTCCACCATTGCAGTCTCGTCCTCTTCCTCTACCTCTACCTCCTCCTCCTCCTCCTCTTCTTCTTCTTCCTCGATCAGTTCCTCGGCAGAATCGTCTGGTTGATCAGCAAAGAGAGGCACGTCATCGGAATCAGACAGGTTGGCACTCTTGGCCCTCTTGACTCTAGAGATGTCGCCAACACGTCCATCAGGGTCTCTCACATCGCCCTCATATGCCGCCGACGGGTCGGCAGACGTAACACTAGAGGACCGCAAGATAGGAACGGCTTTAGTCTTCTTAG